TTGGTCCAGATAAACCAATTTATTTTTATTCTTAAGGTCGTTTGAGGATCTGTTCCTCAGGGGTCACATGGCTTGGGAGGAGTCCCTGGCTCCTTTCTTTTACCAGTTTCACCTATGTGAAGATAAGTCAAAGGTCCTGCTCGATATCTATCCATCTATATTTTATGTAGATATAAAATATATAAATTGAATATTAAAAATTCAGAAGATTCTATATTTTTTAAAAAAAATTAAGTTTAAAACCAAATTGCCTTAAAATTTTCTATTATATTTTACTTTTATTTTTATGGTATGGGTGTGGGTATAGGTGTGATTATGTGCTTGCCAAAGCACACGTATGGAGGTCAGAGGAAAACATGCCAGAGTGAGTCCTGGAGATCAAACTCATGTCATCAGATTCAGTGGCAGGCATCTTTTATCTTCTGAGCCATCTCATGGACTCAAATTGTTTTGAATAAAAGAGATACATCCATATATGGCTTGTAACCTTTTTAGAGATTAATTTGAATGCATTTATCAAGAGCATTCAAATTATTCATGACTTGTAAATATGAACATGAACTCTTACATTTGAATTATACTCCTGGAAATAGTCCCCAACAAAAATTCCCTCCCAAAATTATATACAAGTATATTATTTATCATAATGTAGATTAAACACAGTGTAGATTCTCACAGTAGGGTATGGTTTCAGGAATTATTTATTGTACTCACACCCAGACATTTCTAAGCAGTTCTCATCAATGAAAAAAAATATGGACACCATAGCTCACTAAACTTGCCATCTTTTTTAAAAAGTTCTGATATTTAGCAATTCAGGCCATTCGGCCCTATGAGATGGGCACCTGTAGTTGATCTGAAAGTGGTCAGGACAAAGCCAGGACAGGCATCTCAAGCTCTGTTTGGCCTATTGACGATAACTAATTAGGTTGGACTTTTACGGTACAAAATCCAGACTAATGATGGACACCAAAATGATGTTTTGTATTTGAAATGATTTATGTCCTCTGTGGCACCTCAACTGAAACCTGCAGAACCCATTGCCTGACCTTGCCTTCTGTAGGCAGTCTGTGACAGTGCTTGTGGTGTTTTGAATGAGAAATGTTCCTCATTGGCTCAAGTGTTTGAACACTTGGTCCCCAGCTCAAGTGTTTAGCAAAGTTATGAAACCTTTAGAAGGTGGAGTTGCTGGAGGAAATACATCAGTGGGAGTGGGCTTTGAGAGTTTGTAGCCTCAGTCCACTTCCAGTTTGCTCTCTGCTTCCTGTTTCCTTTGAGGAGGTGATCTCTTGGCTTCCTGCTCTGGTCATCTGCTAGGATGCCTCCCCTCTGGACCCATGAGCCACAATAAATTTTCTTAAGTTGCTTCAAGTCATGGTATTTTATCACAGCAATAGAAAACTAGCTAATACAATGCTCTGCCTTTTTCAGTTCCCAACCTACTTTTCTTTAGCCAAAACATGTAGTGGCACGGTTTACAAAGGGCTGCTTTTTAAACATACATTTTATAGTTAATCTTCATTGTCAACTTGATGGGATTCGAAATCATTCAAGAGACACACTCCTGGATGTCTGTGAGCGTGTTTTCTGTGAGCTTGTTTTCAGGGTACTTTAACCAAGGAAGGATCCTGAGTGTGGGTGATGCTGACTCATGGGAGAGGGTCCTTGTTCTGTATAAAAGGAACAAGGGCAAGAAACACCAGCATTCATCTTTCTGCTTCCTGACTGCAATGTGGCCAGCTGCCTTGCCTTCCTCCTTCCCACAATGGATTGTGCCCTAAAACCATGAGCAGGTATAAATCCTTCCTTTCTTATGTTGCTTTTGATCAGTTAGTTTGTCACAGCAATGAGAAAGTAAGACAGTTCCTATATCCAAAAGGTGGTTGCAAATTCTCTGAAGGTTGCTTTTAAATAAATAAAAGGCCTATCTCTGCCCTAGCTCTCCAAATCTTCGAACACAGAGAACTTAATG